AAGGAAGTGGGTGAAGATAAGCTGTCGTATAGAGGATGAAGGTATTCAGCCCGAGTTGGATGATACACGGAAGCTGGTAAAAAATAGTGTCAGTCAAGCTATGAGCAAGTCTGCCATTATATTGCATTCCGCCACTGCAATAGAGAAGTCAGAGGGAAATCTCAATCATTTTTGATAAATGGGTCTCATAGAAGTGGATACCGAGAACGCTATTTGATATGTGGTGATCCTCATAAAGTTAGTGAGTGTAACAGCTTTCGTGGGACATCTCCAAGGGATAGGTTCCAACTTGAGATACAGACACGGTTGTGTTTTACACGTTTGCAAGGAGTTCATACAAAGGTGAACTGTGAATCAGTGACCAAGTCTAGTGATAAGCTGAATGTGAAATCAAGGTCTGACTCCGAATTGTGTGACGATAATGGTGCGGTGAAGAATCCTCTAGTGGCAAATGTTAAGCCATTGTTGAATACAGTGTTACAGACGACACCGCATTTTGTGGAAAAGAAGAGAATCGCAGTTCCAGGGTCCGGTTCTGATTCCACAAGTCTACGATATATTACTAGTCAGAGTAAAGGTATATAACCTTTTAGGATTTATGAGGAAGAATTGTCTACTGCTCTTATTAAAAAATTTTAAAATGATGAAGTCGAGCATATAGACGACGGTAAATTGAATTTTTGTGGAAAAGTTCATGATGGGAAAAATTTGCGTTTTGTTGATCATGATGAGATGAAAGGAATGGCTACTACTACTATCGATTCGAATGAAAGTTCTGCAGTTGCATAAGGTGTGGATATTTGTGAGACCGTCAGTGTAAATGGTCAGCCTGTACCCCACCTATCAACAGATGTTGATGCCAAACTTGATCTAATAGTAAAAGACAGCATTGGTGGTAATCTTTCGGATAGACAAAACTCTAATAACCAAAAAACAACAGTTTCTGATCCAGCGCTAAGTTTGAAGAATTGTATTGCTGTCAAGATGTCAAGAGGATGCCTTTAACTGGAAGGCGTAGGTCGACATCGATGAGTGTGATTGTCCTGTGGGTATGCTTGTGGTTTGTTTCTTTGTTGTTGTTTGTTTTCCGTTTCAGCTTTGTCCGTGTAGCCTAGGTTCTCGAAATAGCATCCAAGACAACGTGAATTGGTCGTGATAGGAAAAGTTGATGGATCACTTTTCTGCCGAGTATTGTCAATGTAGTCGAAGATTGAACGATCGATTCAAGGTTGTTTGCTAAATCCCAACTCCTCTATAATTTTTCGCGGGAGTCATCAACCCAGCAGTCATCGTCTCATCGTGCACTGTTCGAGGGAATAAGGAAAACTATCAAAAGTATTATCGTGATTTTTTGTTAAAGCATTTATTCTTAGATCTTTTGTGCAATAAGGTTATTTTCCGTTGCATATTGACGTACGAATAAAGGATTCCCGAGTCGCAAATCTGCGGTTTGCTTTTCTCCCTTCGCATATTACAAATCGTTTCTGAAAGTCCATTATGGACATAGTTTGAACCAGCGCAGTAAAAGCTGTTCCTTGACAGTTTCTGAGATTTGTCTGAGAGCTGCTATTCAATATGCTGGCAAACTTGTTCATAGCTTGACTGACACTATTTTTTACCAGCTTCCGTGTATCATCCAACTCGGGCTGAATACCTTCATCCTCTATACGACAGCTTATCTTCACCCACTTCCTTTGCAGTCGAGTAGGTAGGCGTCTCGCTATTACCTCTAGGATTGAGCTTGAGTTCAGATCGCTCATGCAATTCATCGAAATCAATGTATTCTTGTAGTTCATCAGATTATCCAAAAACTCAGAGAGTGCCTTGGAGTCATCTTGTAACTGACTACCACTATCTTAAACAGCCTCGAATACGTTCCTTACAATCATCGAAGGTCTTCCGAATCTTTGACGCAGTATACTCATAGTCTCAGAGTATCCTTCGTTAGAGGGCATGGACTTACAGCGCTGTATAGCTCTTGAAGCAACTCCAGTGCAGTACCTCATTAAATACATCAACTTCATTTCATCATTCAATAGAAAACTACTCAACCTGATTTCAAACTCCTTTACAAACTGTATATAGTCAGCCTGACTTCCTTCGAAATACCGAGGTTCACATTTAGGCCTATTAACCCTAGACTGCGAAACATGAACAACAGACTCATCATGCTGAGCACCATACATATTATTACAATTAACAAGCAACTCAGCATTACTTACTTTCCTGCTTGCTTCCAAGACTCTATGTCCCTACTTTGACCCAGGAATCATTGAACTTCACCGAAAATTCTAGAAAAGATCCAGATAATACTTGTCCAAAGAAGACATGCAGGTACCAGGAAAGACGAATGGAAACTGTCCAAAACTATCAGAAACTGTCAGCCAACTCTCATAAGCTGTCAATATCCAGCTCTTACTACGCTGGACCTCACGCTGTCCCTCGAAGACTTTCAGAAACACTTTGTATTAACCAACGTGAAAACCAGACATATTTATCACATACTCACTGACTATCTGAACTTCAGTAAGGTTGTCAACAAAAGACAGACCGGAACTTCGAAGATTTATTGCTCAGTCCACGACAAAGCAATCTAGCAAATTTGATTACCACAGTTCGACCACCAATTTCACTGTTGATTAGCATGATTACACTGAAAGAGCTACAAATAAGCGTCAATATAATGATCATAAATACTTCCGATAGTTTAAGCCACGGTAGGAGTTGTTGCCTCCAGAGAAAGTGGAACTAGGCCGGACAGACAAGGTGGTTGGACATTTTTTCATTCTTCACCAACCATGATAGGGTCAGTTAAAGTCAGTTAAGGAATATAGCTACCCACAAATTCATCGCCTGAGTGTGAAAACTGTGTTTTTGGAAGAGTCCGGTTAGCTACAACTCGTGAAAGCTTGGACACTTTGAGCTTTGTGAAGTTTTAAACAAACTTGGTGCAATCGGCTCTCATAGGATTACCGACGAATAAAATAATCCCAACAATATACCCTGCTTTCAGATCATTACGGTATCCATCAAAGCGAGCCACGGGTGATAACCCGTCAGACTTATGGCTGCCCCAACTGCATACCATCCAAGTTTTACGCACCTTGAACTCTTTATTAGCGGCAGTAAGCACTTGCACTTTGGTCGGATGCTCTAAATGGATTCTGAGTAATCATGTAGAAACTCATGGGCCGCGTTCAGTAGGATACCTCGTCCATCAAAATAAGATGCGACACACAGCCCGAAGTTTAATTGATGAGTTCTTAGCTGAACTCGTCCTTGACATCCGCAAATTATCCCCTGTCCAGTTATCCTACTTATTCGGAGGAATTCATTCGTTTATTTATTTCAGTTTTGATTACCGACATAAATTTTTGTACTTCTTCCTATTTAAATTCACAAATTTGAAGTTGGTGGTATTGGCATATTACTTGTCGTCCCGCTTTTTGACCACCCTACATGACCAGCGGGTGGAAGGACACTGTTAGTGGGTACATTCCTGAACCTGTCCATTTTACTTCAATACATTCTATCTTGTCGCAATGTCCTGATTTCCCCAACTGTTACATTCACTCCACTAATATTATTATTGATATATATTTAACTATATTAACTATATATATCAGTTTCAGATCTCACTAGCTGTGTTTTTCGTTTCCTTTCGTTTTCTTTTCAAGTCCACATATTCCACATTAATTGCATCTGTTATTATCATTATTTTTATCCTTCTTTCATACCATATCGGACGACTAACGGGTGAGAGGGTGAACTCCATTCCCAGAAGTGGCACTATCTTAATAGACTCCATAACACAAACCACATATGATCAACCCCAGCAGCACTACTTTGCGAGTCACCCTAAGCTACGACGGTAGAGTTGCGGAACGAACTGCAGGAATTTACCGAAGACCATGGGGCCCTAACTTCTAACCAAGTATTATTATATTATTATTGTATCCTTTAGTTCCTAGAGGAACATAGGGCTTCAGCTGAGCACCTCCATTGACTTCGGTTTTCTGACAATTTTTTCACCCTGCTCCAGGTCTGTCCACATGCTTTCATCTCCTCCTCGCATGACCTCCTCCAAGTCACCCTTGGACGACCAACTCGCCGCCTCCCTTTCGGGTTCCACTCGAGGGCTTGTCTAGTGATGTCACTTGATGGTTTCCTCAGCGTATGGCCAATCCATCTCCATTTCTTTCTGCCTATTTGTTTCACAATCGGTTCCTGATTGGTTCGCTCCCAGAGATCCCTGTTGCTGATCTTTTCTGGCCATCTGATCTTGAGTATTGAGCGGAGACAGTTGTTAATGAAGGTTTGAAGTTTGTTTGAGATGCTCTTTATGACTCGCCAAGTCTCTGATCCGTATAGTAGCACTGACTTCACATTGGAGTTGAAAATCCGGATCTTATTTTTGATGCTGATTGCTGTTGACCTCCACACAGATTTGAGAGTAATGAAAGCTTGTCTTGCTTTTCCGATTCTGGCTTTGATGTCCTCGTCAGTAGCGAACACAAATAGGTATAACTGGTATACGCTGGATCGTACAAACGATACTGTATGTTGGACTAGCGACAATCGCAACTGTGTTGTGGTCATAAGCATTACCACACTACCAAGAACCGACTGCGAATAAATTATCTCAGTCGATACTAACCCGTTGAAATTATGCAATTAGGCTGTAGCCTCAATAAGTCTGAAATGCAGACAAATAGTTTCCCTGCATATCTCTTCACAAATTTGTCAGCCTTCCTGGAAGATTCTATCACGAAGATTGCTCCTAATTCTAAGCGGCTTCACTCTCGTGGTACCTTTCTCTTTCTTAACGCCCCCAGTGAACGTACGGTAGTCGAAAAGACAGAACAGATGACGTCTAATATGGTGGAAATGTAGAACAGTTTCGATACGGCCATGGACCTAGGGGTTTAATGCCATCTTTTCACAAGCACATTTGATTCCATATTGGCTCTTTGTATTGTTTTCTTTTTGTAGTAAATGTTTGTATTTTCAAGGTCGTCGGTCGGACTGCTAAGTTTGTTGTTTGGCAGGGAGATGGTCTCATGCGAAATTCACAAGATCTCTGTGTGTATTTGAACCTAGTTTTCTGTATCATAATCTGAAAGAGCAGATGAGATGTCCACAGACATGTGGTCGCACTAATCATACGAATATTGGTCGACGTATTCAATTAAAGTGTGGTAGTTGTCAGCAACAAATACGTAACATCTACAAATTTCTGCAGCTTTATTCACGTTTAGATGTGTAAGTAATAGTAATGGCATTCCTTCTGATTGATTCGCAGCAAAAATAAATGTAACTGTAATGATGAAAGTATCCACGCTTTCATCCATGAAACCAATAAAATGTTGAACGAAGATTTGGAAAGTTCACTTATGAAGGAAGTAGAAGATGTTCTGAGTAAAGCACACATAACTCTTTTACCGCAAACTCAAGGGAAATCTGTCGCCTTGTTAGAATCTGAGAAGTCCATGTCGAAGTCAGAGCGCAGAAGAACCACCTGTGAAAGTAAAACTCAGAGGGAGATTAATACGACTGTAGTAAAACAGAAAAAGTATATCCCTGCACATATGAAGGCTCCGTACAAAGCTGATATTTTGTCAAAACGGTAATTAAATGTATTCATGTCTTACAATGCTAATACTCATTTATTATACAGCCAGCCAGTCAAACTGTTGAGAAAAGTGAAAAAATATATTGGTGAAAGTAAAGAACATAAAATTGTGGAATGTAATGAACACAAAAAGTCTATTCAGCGGGAGTATGCCCAGAACATGTGCGTTTACTCGTTAACTTCATTTTTAAAGGCACCGTGTAATTTATTCACATGTAGTGTGCACTTGCAGTCAGATTCAGACAGGCCAAGAAGCAACGCTGGTTAGGCAGCTGGACAAGGATTTTCTTCGTCTGCGAACTTTACTCCTAAGAACAGAGCAGTTAGGAAGATGGGAAGATGGAGGAATTCTGTTAAAGTTATATCGAAAAGTAAGTATTTCGCGTCTATGATATTCATTGTGTTAACTACACGGAATGCTATCCTCTGACCACATGTACATGTGTGCACCTTGCAATGAAGCACGTGTCGTGTTAATTGTTTACCATGATACTAGTAAGTGTGGCAGTCGGTTACGATTATTATTTCAACGGTTGTTTTCACACAATGATAAGTTTCTGATTTTGGTAACATTTTGAGTAGGATTTCTGCCCATGATCTCATCAATTCGTGGAATTAGTTTTAATCCCTGAAACTAAAAACAATTCCAAATCCTTATTTCGAACCGCATTCCATCACGAAGTGAAATCATTTGGCGAAATCAACTAAGTCCCTACAAACCAACACTCCTCTTGTTTTTTGAAATTATTGAACAAAAACAAAATTGTAAAAGACGCTCATCGTAGTCGGTTCGTCAGCACGCGACTCCATAGACACCTGGAATACAATTTTCGGTCTAGCTTAACTGTGCTACTCAAAGCGTGAAGGTCAACTGTTAGGATAACTGTTTCTGCAATTTTGGCTTTTTACCAGCAAACTGAGAGATCCTTTACATCATCCGAACTGTTGTTGCCTAAGTGGACATAACGAACAGATATCGGTGAGCATCACTATCCTTCCTTATTGTCAAGTATAAAGGTATCGCTCTTTAGCTTAAGTTATCGTTTCTGGACTGCGACTGCCACATTCAGGACCTCCACCTACTTCAGCCTGAGTGACAGTAGTACCATTAGCTGTCACCCAATAAATATGACTCACGGTTTAGTACATGAGTAATCTTCGGAGTTACTGGATTCTGACTCATTCTTCTGAACCCATTACGCCGGACCACAGACAAACGGCTGCCCATTTGAAAACAACTAAGTATTGATTTTTCTATCCTGGAGCTCAATGCTATCCCTACGTCATTAGGCCTCTGACAACACACCAACACGTTTTCTGACATTTGTGGATTGAATTTTTCGGATGCATTCTGTTTCTTGAATAGGAATAAGTCGGTCATCAAACCTGTGTTTTTGTGTGCATTTCAGAGATACAACCCACATCGAAACCATGAGGTGCTGGAGTTCTGCCTGTTGAGACTTGCTATCAAGTTGTGTACAAGGATCTAGACATCGGAATCTCTAGTATGAAGTTGTTAGTTTAGTCCTAAAAGAATAAGGACAGTGTTCTTGTGACTCAAGTCGTTATCACTTAAGAGAGGAAATGACGAAGAGGAAGCAGAAAGATGATCTTATGAGCACAAGTACTTCATGTGCTTAGGGGAGCTTGTGGTTGGTTATTCCTTGTGACCACTAACTGTGAGGGTTTGATTGTCTGGTGACTACAGGAAACGGCACCAGTTACACTTGACAACAAAACTAATTACAGTTGTTTGAGGCTGTTCCGCCAACCAGCTACTGAGTTTGTTCTGCACTGCAAAAAATAATCCCCATTATTTAATCTGCTATTAGCTAGCGTCCATTGACAGTGTAAACAATCATCCAGCTAGCACTACGGTAAGCGTTTGGTTCACTTGGAAATGAGAACTTATCTTGAAGCAGAACTCGTTCGGGCTTCACTCCAACTATACGTAGGCGAATATGAGGAAAAAACAGCACACAAGCAATGATTAAGGGGGATTCAGTTGAATAATGCAGTTTCTACTTTATTGCTTAATAAGATGCTGACACTAAGGTGGACTCTGATTAATGCCTAATCTCTGAAATAAAACACTCTTGGAGATGATATACGTAGGAAGTATTTTATCACTTAAATGGAATCAGGTAGACAGTTCATTGATATACAGCAAATATTAATAATTAACTAGTGTCCAATCAAAGTATCTACTACATTCTTACAGGAGGTCAATCACGAGCTCAGTGGTAACGTCCCTGACTCCAGCACTGGGCGGTGCGGGTTCAGCAGATACGCCCTGCTGACGAGTGTCAACTAGCACAAATCCTAGGTCCAAGGCTTCCTGCCTATTGTTTCCAACCATCTAATATCATCAAATCAATGTGCACCGTGATGGCGAGCTACCTAGGACGGTGGCCACATTGCAAACGTGACTGATAGAATTCAGTCTACACCAAAGAAAGGACTAGACACATCACACCAGTTACTTATGTCTAATCAAGATTAAGAATTAACATTTCTAGGGATTTTACCGAGTTCATTTTTTGTCCGATTTGCATCAAACTATTGAAGCTATAGGCAGCAGGTGTTGGTTGGAATAATGGTGTTAGGATAAATGTGTTTCATTACCGTACTGTCTGTCTGTTTTCGACATAGAACTTTGCACCGATGTGCGGCAGTTCAAGTCACCACACTCCATGTAGCACACAAAGCAAGAGAAAAAGGTAGAAGAAATGCATAATAAAGACAGTAAACAGAGGTGTGAGACAAAGAAATAGAAGTAACGAAGATCAATGTAGTTTCATTGGAAATCATAGGTCATAAGGAGTGGATGCATCTACGCCATTGAGAACGAGTTTGAGCCACGTAACCATTTTTTTCCAACTATTGGTTTTTACCGTCCTGAGGACCCCAACCAGAAAGTCTACACCTTACTACGTGACTGGCTTAAACTAACTGTTGTATATTTCATTGACTGGTACCATGTTTTCGTTTGACAGCCGCTGGCTCTTTTCCAACCTGACCTTATGTCAGCTAACATTACTCGCCGAGGAAGGCGATGACTAGGCCTACGTAACACATATCTTAACCATCTCGATCGGTGTAACTTCACAGCCTTGTCGATTGGTTTCCCCTCCTTACCTAGCAATCGATGCCTAACCTCAATATTGCTTACCTTATCTTACCACTTAACACGGGAGATAGAGCGCAGACACCTATGATCAAAGAAAGCTAACCAGCCTTTTCATGTCTCCCACTTTCAATGGCCAGCATGTCTCACAGCCATAAAAGAGGATGGAGCGGGCTGCTGAGCAGTACACCCGTCGATCTCCGGGTATCACGTCTACGCCAGAGACGGCGTAAACTGGCATATGCGAAACAAGCCTTCTGGATACGTGCTGAGATTTCATTGGAGATCAACCCGTTGGGGCTGATGGTACTTCCCAAATAAGTGAAGCGGTCAACGTGCTCTACCACTTCACTTCCTATTTTTAAACTGGGCGTCGGTGTTGTCCAGTTCTGTAACATCATCTTGCATTTGGCGGGAGTGAATCGCATGCCAAACATTCGTAGATTGCAACTAGAGGTGTTCAAAAGACTGCATTTTGTGAGCGTCCTCACCTAGAAGGACTATATCGTTTGCATATTCTAAGTCAACGAGATTATTCCCTGGTAGCAAGTCAATCCGTGAGTCGCTGAAGTGAGTTAGGGTTAAGTCCGTTAGTACATCAATGATGAAATTGAATAGAAATGGGGATAGTGGATATTACCGTACTGGCGGAGAATACTCTGAATGACATAGACGGAACACGATCTCAGTTAAAAGAATAAATATATGAGAAATGTGAAAGTGATGGAAAGAAGAGACAGCCCAAACATAACAGTAGGAATGTTGTACCGCGAATTGAGAATGAATTTCATGACACCGGTGAAGGTGGAGTTCAACTTCCCATTTATTTACTAAACAAAGCAACCTAAATCCACAGTAAATTGCAAAGTAATACTAACTACTGTCTTACAATTTAATTCTGTCCTCAGGCTATAACTGCTAGCGTACATATTCCCACCGAAAAGTGCATCTTTGCCGGAGGATTACTTCACAAATTCTTCAGTTTTTTGCAGTTCATCGGTAAGTGATATTTGTTTCTGCACTAATTTTAGTCGTGGCTTTATTATACAAAATTATTTCAGTAATTGAACCTTTTTGTCTCCTGCTGATTTTCTAAGTGTCAGGTTTCGTTCAGTATCTTATTTTATTTTCAATTTCCACCATACCATCATATCTGAGTGTGAGAAATATTTTCTTAGAAATACTTATTTGGAAAAGTCTGAAACAAATATACGTTGGATATTCGTTTGACAGTTGCCGGTAGTATATTCTAAAACACATGTTTCATCTTCCTAGTGGCCCATCAGCTGGATGAAACTGCATCTAACTGAAACGAACTTATTTATCACAGTGCCAGAGGATTACCTATTGGACCACTGGTCCAAGAAAGTCACCTGTGGTGGACCTGATAGAGTTTGGCGGTATTTATTTTGTAGTTGTAATTTTCTCTTCAGTCTGAAGGTTTTAGTGAAAATCACAAGTGAAAACGCATAAGAACTGTTACTCGGGTAACAATTAACTTTATTCTGAACACAGTATTCATACTTATTGTGGAATTCTCAAAATATTTCACTGCCACCATTTCATGTCTTCCACTTTCAATGACCAGCATGTCTCACAGCCATAAAGGAGTATAAAGAGGACTGCAGAGCAGTACACACGTCCTTTGATTAATAGTTGCATATCACGTCTACGCCAGAGATGGCGTAAACTGGCATATGCGAAACAAGCCCCCTGTATTCGTGCTGAGATTTCGTCAGAGATCAGCCCGTTGGGGCTGATGGTACTTCCCAAATAAGTGAAGCGGTCAACGTGCTCTACCACTTCACTTCCTATTTTTAAACTGGGCGTCGGTGTTGTCCAGTTCTGTAACATCATCTTGCATTTGGCGGGAGCGAATCGCATGCCAAACATTCGTAGATTGCAACTAGAGGTGTTCAAAAGACTGCATTTTGTGAGCGTCCTCACCTAGAAGGACTATATCGTGTGCATATTCTAAGTCAACGAGATTATTCCCTGGTAACAGACCAGTCAATCCTTGAGTCGCTGAAGTCAGTTAGGGCTAAGTCCATTAGTACATCTATGATGAAATTAAACAGAGATGGGACAGTAGGCATCCCTGACGGTCACCACTGGTTGTCAACGCAGTTGTCAGATTAAGTTAGTGCTGACTAAGAACAGATGATTATCTGGACAGAACTTTAGAAAACGATCACTACTGTCGTTCGTCGTCAGGGAACTCCGGACGTACCACCTACATACTTCTCAGTCTGGTGTAACTTCCCTACTAGGACGTTGAAGTCGCCTGCTAAAACAACTATATCTGGTAGTCTTGCTTTTTGCAGCGAACTAGACAGTTTCAGGTAGAAGTCATCCTTTAGTTTATCTGAACTGCAGTCGGTTGGAGCGTAAGCTGAGGCTATGAAAAGGCAACGATGGATCCGTTCAGACGGACCGCACACATACGACTAACTACTGGGATCCAGTCAAGGAGGGATTTTTCTGCCCCGACAGTCAATGCCATCCATACTCCTGCGATTCCTCGCGAACTAGCCGAGGAATCTCCTGACACTCTTAAGGTAAATCTTGCAGATCCACCTTGTTGGCCGGGTGGGGTTAAGCGAATGACTACACTTGGGTCTTGTATGCGTATCTCCGGAACACAACAAACATCCATGGCTCGAGATGCCAGAGTTCTTGCTAGTGATGCCTGTTGTCCGGTTTGACAGAGGGTCCTGACGTTGAATGCTCCAATATGAAGTTGGTTTAGTGACTCTAAGAGGTTGTCAGGGGTGTTTCTATGGCTCTCACCGTTGTTTGTGGTCACAGAGTGAAGTGACGATGACTCACTAGCCTGCACAATAGTATTAACAGTAGGAGGAAAACAAGATGATGAGGGTGACAGGGGTAAACGAAAATGCTGATCAGCAGGGCTTCGTTTGCTTTTAGAAGTGTGTGGGCGGTTGCTACTTCCCGACTGCCCACACCGTGGAAGTTGATGGATTCTTGGGGTACCTGAAATGGAAGAAGAATTAGTGTTGCTTGACCACAGAGCCCAGGGGACAACTGCTTGAGGCCAGTCACACACGCCTTGTATGGACTGGTTTCTTGGTTTGGTTCCGTATTAGTAACTTACCGCCAGTTACGGACCACCGCAGGGCAAGTCAGGATGTGCAAGTTTTTGGGTCGACGTTTTGTAACTCCTCCTCCTCCTCTAGGTTAGAGACAGCATAGCTGGCATGCTGGTCATCTAAGGGAAATACCGTACTGCTGTTAGATACCTATTCCCCAGCAGTAATTCTTTGCCCACAGACCCTCAGCATAATGTTAAAGACTATCTTAACTATGACGGTAACTGCCCTTGGTCTAGGGCTATGTTGACAATCTTCCTGGTATGGTAGGATCTGCAGGAACATTCCCGACCGAAAGCTGCTACCTTGACGTGGTGGTCGGGCTTGAACACCGCAATGACCTAATCAAGCTATACTGGCTGAGACTTATGTCTCTTGAGGTTCTACCATGCCAGGCAGGTTGTTTGGATAGCGGTTAAACAAAAAGCAGCTACCTCATCCAATACCATGATCCAAACAAATTCACAAAATTTCATGCCGGATCGGCCGTGGCCCGGATTAACAACGACCGCGCTTCCTGCTGCCGTGTCACAGGGCGGGAGTGATAAGTATGCTACTGAGGCACACAAAACAACAAAGAACGAACAAAAACAGGCCGCGTGTGACCGGCCTCAAGCAGTTGTCCCCTGGGCTCTGCGGTCACGCAACCAACTTCCACGGTGTGGGCAGCCGGGAAGTAACAATCGCCCTCACAATCCAAAACGCACACAAAACCTCTCTAATCCTCACTTATCTTTGTCTTCATCTTCATCTCTATTACCTTGCCTTCCCCCAGTGATGCAACTCCTCTACTTGATGGCTCCTCACTCCCTCTTCACTCTGTGTCCACTAAAAACGACGAAAGCCAAAAAACCACCACGGATAGTCTCCTAAAGCCACGCCACCAATTTCATATAGGAGCATTTAATGTTAGGACACTTTGCCAAATAGGACAACAAGCATCACTAGCTAAGACCCTGGCATCTCGAGCCATTGATGTATGTTGTGTTTCAGAAACACGCATACAAGACCCAAGTGTGGTTATTCACCTAACCCCACCTGGCCAACAGGATGAATCTTCAAAATTCACCTTGAGGGTGTCAGGAGATGCCACAGCTAGTTCACGGGGATTAGCTGGCGTAGGGATAGCTCTGAGTACTAGGGCAGAAAAGACATTGCTTGACTGGATCCCAGTAGATAGCCGAATGTGTGCTGTCCGTCTGAACGGATCAGTAAGAAGGAGAAAGGACTGCACTACTCGCCGATGCCTTTTCGTAATCTCCGCCTACGCCCCCACTGACTGCAGTTCGGATGAAACGAAGGATGAGTTCTACCAAAAGCTGTCTAGTTTGGTGAGAAAGGCTAAACGCTCAGATATAGTCGTTCTAGCTGGTGACTTTAACGCTCAAGTAGGGAAATTGTGTCAATCTGAGAAGGATGTCGGTGGCACCTATGGAGTTCCGTGCCAGCGAACCGACAACGGTGACCGTCTCCTACAGTTCTGTTCAGATAATCATTTGTTTCTTGTAAGCACTAACTTTAAACACAAGGAGAGACACTGTTTAACCTGGCGACCCCCATCATCAAACCAACGCTGGACACAAATAGACCACATAGCAATAAGCTATCGTTGGCGTGGGTCGGTAGGAGATTGTCGCTCCTTCTGGAACACGTGTGTAGATACCGATCACGCACTGGTCCGGGCTCGTGTGTGCTTACGACTGAACGGACGTAGGAAACAGCTGGCGGTAAAACCATCACGTCCCCAGCTCGATCAGGAAACTAAATCCCTATTTGAGGAAGAACTAGCTAAACGCATATCTGAATTCGACAGCTGTGCTCACCCTGGAGAAGCCTGGAAGAATATTCAGTCAGCTATAGATACAGCTGTAAAAGCTGTGAATAAGGCAAATCCAAAGGTGAGTAAAAACCACTGGATTTCGACTGCCTCATCCGAACTGATAGATGCTAGAAGACTTATTCCGGCGAGCTCCGAATTCAATGAGGAGCGAAAGCTGCACAAAAGGAAACTTACTAAAAGTCTCCGCAAGGACCGTGAACAGTGGTGGGTGACAAAGGCGAAAGAGATGGAAAAAGCATTGGCGATAGGCAACACTAGGCAACTCTTTAGACTCATCACAGAATCGGGTGGGAGAAGGCAATTCATAAGTGAGACTATTTCTGAGAAAAATGGCTCCTTAATTAGCTCTCAGGATAGACGCCTTGAACGCTGGAAAGAACACTTTGAGGAACAATTTAACTTGCCTACAGCCACACTGAACCTCCCCGCCATCCACCACGTACCCGAATGGGATATAGACACTGGTCCGCCGTCTGTAGGTGAGGTTACAAAAGCTATCAGTAATTTGAAACGAGGCAAAGCGGCAGGACCCGACGGAATTATTCCGGAGGTGTTTAAATATGGGGGTGACATACTAGTTTGTAGATTAACTGAGGTACTAGGCAAAGTCTGGGAATCAGAGACAGTACCATCAGACTGGGGTAAGTCACTTATTATACCGATATTCAAGAAGGGAAACAAGTCCTCGTGTGATAATCATAGGGGGATCAGCCTAACGAACATAGTCTCTAAAATCCTAGGCTCAGTAATCATGCATAGACTAAGCAGAACTCGGGAGGAACAGACAAGGGAAAATCAAGCAGGCTTTAGACCAGGTAGAGGGTGCATAGATCATATCTTCACTCTTCGACAGATTCTAGAACATAGACACACTTTTCGGCGTCCAACAATTGTCATATTTCTTGACTTGAAGGCGGCCTTCGACTCCGTGGATCGAAAGGTACTATGGCAATGTCTGACTGTGAAGGGAGTGCCAAGAAAGTACATTGCACTAATCAAGGCACTCTATTCAAACTCACGTAGTCGTGTAAGGGCTTATGGGGAATTGTCATCTGAATTGGTAACAACCAGTGGTGTCCGACAGGGATGTCCACTTTCCCCATTTCTGTTTAACTTCATCATAGATATGCTAATGGAAGTATCCTTAACTGAACGTAGTGACTTAGGAATCGACTTGTTACCAGGGAATAATCTAATGGACTTAGAATATGCAGATGACATAGTCCTGTTAGGGGAGGATGCTGACAAAATGCAGAGTCTTCTGAACACCTTGAGCAGCAATCTTCGTATGTTTGGCATGCGATTCGCCCCTGCAAAATGTAAGATGCTGCTACAGGACTGGACCACGTCAACCCCTAACTTAGTGATAGGGAGTGAAGTGATAGAACATGTTGACCACTTCACCTACTTGGGAAGTTGTATTAGCACCAACGGACTGATTGGCGATGAAATCTCAGCACGGATCCGAAAAGCTCGAGCTGCTTTCGCTGACTTACACCATCTCTGGCGTAGGCGTGACATCCGGTTATCAACCAAGGGACGTGTGTACTGCTCATCAGTTCGCTCCGTCCTTCTCTATGGCTCTGAAACATGGCCAATACGCGTTGAAGACATGAAAAGGTTGACTGCTTTCGATCATAGATGTCTGCGATCTCTGTCTCACGTTAGGTGGTTTCACAAGATAAGTAATGTTGACGTTAGGCGTAGAGTGTTGGGCAAAGAGGGAAAATCAATCGACGAGGCTATAAAGTTACATAGACTAAGATGGCTAGGTCACGTGGTGCGCATGCCTAACCACCGCCTCCCCCGACGGGCATTGTTAGCTGATATAGGTTCAGGTTGGAAAAGAGCCAGTGGTGGCCAAACAAAAACATGGCATCAATCCATGAAATCCTTGACAGTTAAACTGAGTCAGGTAGGGAGATGCAGACTCCCGGGTTGGGGCCCTCGGGACTCTAGGAATCAATGGCTGGAGACAATAGGTGACATGGCTCAAAATCGTTGTCAATGGCGCAGATGTATTCAATCTCTGTAATCTTTCATATTCCTTTCTACCATTACCCATTCTGTTTCACTCTTATATTTGTCAAACTCTATTAATTCTCTTCACTCATCTTCTTGTCTACCTCTGTGTGCTATTTGGAACGTGGCAACTCGAACTGCTGCACTTCGGTGCCAAGTTCTATGTTGAATCCAGACAGACAGACAGCAGGAACATTAGTTCCAGCTAGTGTAGCTTGTTGGATCACTACGATACGCAAGCCATCACCATGTCAGGAAACCAGGTATTGATCAAGTGTGGTAAGCATATACCCCATGAGTAAAGCAGTTTTGAAAAGTTGTGATCGTTGTTGGATTGAGTTACATGCTTTTAAAGATTTCATTCAACCAACATCGGCCTGAGGAACCATGAACTATCATTAATTCTAAGATAATCGAGATTCGTAGGCTAACACGTATAAAACGATCGCCGAGCTACTTAATCGCCTTAAAAAGTTTACTCAAGTTCATTCATGAAATCAGAATTGTGAAATCAAGGATAAGACTTTCAGCTTCGTCTTTAAAACTTACCTTCAGATACACAGATTGAGAACCCGGATGAAATATGTTGGATACAGAGTGTCTTATCAAGATTTATCTATATGTTGAATACGTTGAAGTTAATTGTCTCAAGAGTGGATTGTGGGTCAATGAATACACGCGTATCGTCAAAATATTCTGACCATGATTCATCCGCTGAAGATGATCCTGTAAGTGCGTGGTTTGCTTCAAGACAACCACTTAAATCATTTGTTCCCCCAAATGCATATGAAGCCTACATGACAATAGGTAACTACACTTTTTTGTGTTTAACCTTCATTTTTTGAAATCCATTTCAACTGTGTTATAGTGTTTCATAAACTTTATTGTGCTCTTACCACTGTTGACAATTAATATTCATCAAAGTCCCTTCAAATAAGTGATTTCGAAATCCGTATCACTTGCTTTATAAGAAGTTTATTATTCGAACTTATCAGTCGTCATTCCTGATCAGCGAATTGGAATGTTTAAACTCAGTCTGATATGAAAATAGCATCTTACAAGTTTCCATTAAGCTTAATTGTAATACTTTCTGCTAGTTTATCTGCTCTAAAGACCAAACTTCTTGTCTCCGTTTGAATAGGTGAGTTACTTAGTCGTCTCTTCACTTCCATACCATAAGTTAATGATATCCAGTATCCAAAATAGGGGATAGGACGTGATGTAACTGAGTCAAACTTGTCATGTTTCGTTTCAGTATATCAGTTAGCAAAAAGAAAAGAAGATTGAAAGTCGCAGAAAAGCCAGTGGAATAGGAAAAAGTGACAAGTATGTAGAAGTAATACTTTCATAATTAAGATGAAGATGAACTGAGCTACATATCTGACTGTTAACTCATTACCTGCAAGAAAGTTGTTTGTCTCAAAGTTCTCTGATGACATAGCCTGTACTAAGTAAACAAACTGAAAAATGAAATATTTCTTGAGTACTTCAAACTGAAATGTAAAGATTTTTGGTGTTTTTGTCGTCTATTAAATATAAGGTAATAATACAAGACTGGTATGTACAAACCCGTTTAATTGTCTAAAAATAGGGCATAAATTAGTCAAACGCATTGATTACTTCAACATTCGACGAGTTTTATGAGGCACAATAGATTTATTTTCGAGTGGATCTTTGCACGACACTAGCTGAGTTTCACTTCTGACTGTGAATAGGGTGCGAGTTTACTGCACGAGATTATATTTTGAACTACTCTCTGGCTGTGGCATACGGATGAAAACAATGTAGAGCTGTAAAATCTTTGATTGATGCTTTGAGTTACATAAGTTACTAGGATATTAAGAGTAGGTATTCGGAGTGAGTGCTATCACTATTGTTTACATATATGTTTATTCTATATTCTTATCCACTCATATTTCTGTTTACTTATTTTATGCAAAGTTTTAGATTTTTTGTGTATGTCTCATTTAGGTGCAGCTGCACTACCATCATCAATTTTGAATCTTTCACTCGGACAGAAATAGGCGAAGAATGGTTAAAATGGGTAGACTTTGGCAAATGACAAAAACAATAATACAATGGGTTAAGTAATGGAAAATTAGTTACATTTCAGTATAAGCAGGAAAAATCATGCCAAATAAGCAAAATTCATCCACTTTTCCTTATTACTGACCATGCTCACATTCTTTCGACTTGAGTCTGTTTCTCTTAAAATGACAGCACTTCGGTAGAAGTTTTCCAAAATTAAAGGGTCATAAATTCAACTGTTTCGTGTCAGTCAAAATAAAGCGGCCGAAGACTATTTCTAGTTACTTCAAAATAGTTTTTTTCAAGTGAAAATTGTTCCATTAAAGCAAATAATCGTAATGAGCGACATGAAATTGGGAAGCTCAGGGATTGAGTGCTACAAGTTATTTGAAAGTCTGTTTCAAGTGGTAGTACATCCTCAAGCTTGTTACGTCCTTACTTAGAAGTGAAACTGCATTAAAGATAATTGCAGTCGAAAGCCAGCAGTTATCTTAGCTGCTAGAAACATTACGTTTGTTTGCTGATAACCCGTCAGTGATCTACTTTGCATTTTAGGGAGATGCTCGAGTAAATCAAGAATATCCCGTTTATCGGCACTGAAGCTGTATCCATATTTGTGTATATTCAAAGGTAATAAGAAGGAAATACAGATGTTTACAAACCTTTGGAGTGAACTTGAATCCATCCAAATTGATCTTGAGTTTCTCAATACTTTTAAGTCAAATCTCCCAGAATTACTTCCTGATCTCTTTGACCATACTGAGTAAGTTCGTGCAATGTCATCACTTCTAGTTTTTGTAGACAGTGTATTAAGACTTTTTTACTAGTGAATCTATTATAGTAATTTATCTGCCATCTGTACAGCAGAGATATCGAGAAAATCTGACTGTTGCTGAAGTATAATGTTGCAATACAATTGAGAGAACGTGACAGCACAAAATTATGGGTGTACATACACTCCCACAGTAATTGCGAAGAAATCTGTCGACATCGAAGTGTGTTGAGCTTTCGTCTCTAAATAGTACGAGGATTTCTGCTTTATGGGTTTGATACCAAGGATTTTTTTTATATATTAACACTTATCATCGGTATCGTTAGTCGTTTTAGCAGCTGACCATACACTGCAAAACAAATAAATAATTGCGACCGTTCCCTCCCCTATGTTACGAAATAATCGTAAAACTTTCAGTGGTAGTGGCACTTACTTCCAGCAGGTATCACTAGGATGTCTTATTGACATATCAATTGTTTCTGTTAGTTACATCTACTTGTCTCATCACACATAAGTTTATCAAAGAGCTAACTTGACATGACAAATCGTCTGCTTTCCAGATGAGATTAAATCAAATTACAAACGGATAGACGAACTTTCACTTCGCCTCTAACATTTCCTCCAATAATGTATAAATACGTGTGTTAGCTTGGTAATTACTATAGCAGGATTTATTTTTTGTTTAGGAGTCTTGGCATCCTGTATTTCGGATGAAAAATTCAACAATTCCGTTCCGAGTTGGCCTACCGAATGTTATATTTTCTATGACCGGTAGAAAGCTAATATAGTGTATACCCTACAATTTTTAATATTGACAGATATCTACAACTAAAGAGCATAGAAGACATTAATAGTATCCCACTTTTAATTCTCATTCTTTACAGCGTATGCGATTTTCCAATATCGTAATCATGAGGTGGTTTTCTTTTTCAGGAATCGTGCATCGGCTTTTCGTGATTTGTACTCACTTGTATGCGAAAGTAGTCCTTCAGTTTTGAAAAGTAACTTATGTTAATCTCGTATTTCTTTACACACAATAGTTTTTACATTTTGATAATATAATATAATTTTGGTTGTATGAGCTTTTCGAATAATATGCCAAATATTTGCGATTCCACCAGACTCACCTAAATATGTAGAATTGCGTTTCCCGATTGACACTATATGAGCACACTTAGAAATGGCGAACAAGCCTGGTTAAATCACTGAGCTACCTAGATTTTCATGCATTAAAATGCATCGTCTTTATTCCGTTTCGTATTGTATTAGCAATCTAATTACCACAATTAGCCAAAAGTCGTGCTCGCTTACTATTTCAAATAAGTTTCTAACTACCGCCAGCAATTTTCCGAGCAAACTTTTAGCGGAACAATATTGCTTCAGCTGATATATTATCGGTTAATATATAATTTCAAGATTCTACACAAGGACAAAGTGCCTCGCAACGAAACTCGCTGAAAATCCTGTATCGTGAATAAACGCACTTTTCAGAATAAAGCCATTATTATTAATAAGCTACCATAGAGTTCATGAAAGTGACGCTGAAACCACATTACTTGTGTAAATAGCAGGTGCTAAGAAATCCCTTATATTTTGTGTGACAACTGCCTTATCTTAGTGATCTAAACCATTTTTCTAGACTTTAATGAATGTGTCTCATTATTTTGATTTGTATTGAGAGGTTATTTGGACTTGAAAATAATTCGCAACTTCGTTGTATGCGTTTTCAACAATTTATACTGAAGCACAACCATTTCGACTACATAGGATAATACTCTAAGTCTGTCTGACGGTAAATTTAGTTGACCAGCTGTTGCGTGCAGTGGAATATTTATAAATATTATTATTCATTTTCATCATCAGAAATTATTTACGAATCTTTTACTATTTTACTGTTTGGTGTTAAGTTTTTTGCCTCGACATATTTATGTGGTAACAGATAAACATTGAAGCGCAGCACTACGTTCCTAAAAGTAAAAGCAAACACTTGTTAATAAAGCTATTTTCAATGATATATTCACTTCATCAAAATAACTTCATCTGAAGGTTCCACTTCAAGCCTTTTCAACGCTAGAAGTAGTACAGACAGATAAATGCCGGTGGTCATTTGCTCCGAACAACAGGGAACTAGTTACTCTTATCTGTCTTTATTTTTGGTACAGACAGTTGACACTTAATGTTGACTGATATAAATTAGTTCCACAACCGATGGCAAACACAGTGTTAGTTCCAATAAACAATTGAATACCAAAATGCAGTAGCGACATACGTAAGTATATGGTATATTCAGAATGTAATGAGAATTTACTTTATTTTAGTAAATAATCTTAATAGCTGAGTGTTCCGTAAACGAAAATAGTTTGATAAAGTATGAAAATCAGTAGAAGTTAATGTACGCAACAAAGTAATCATTATTGTTAATCATTATTTTATGATGAGAACGCATAGATTCTGAATCCACTTATTTTAAGAAATCTTGAAAATATGTTAAGCAGTTATTTTTTGTGTGTGTTGTGTTCACGCAACTTCAGTTAATTTAGAAAGGTTCGAATTGTTACGAAAGTTTATCTCTGTTCAGAGGATTTATCCGTGGTACTTGAAAACAAGCTTCGTTAACTCTTGGAGGTTTTCTTTTTTGACGGTACTTTATCAACTTGGGAGTATTTTTTGGAGTCTTTTCGTGACATTGTTACTCGATTACGACAACCTTTACCTCCTTCCCAGTGGGATGACCGAGATCCTGACAATGTTTTTCCACATCTTATACACGGTTTGACAGCCGAAAAAGGTTGTTCTTTTGAACAAAAACCACAGATCATACGAGTGGCCAGTTCCATTTCGTGCCCATCAACGGCAGAGTTGTCATGACAAACATCACACGGCTCAAGACGTCCACAACACGGAAACCTTTCAGAAGACAAAATTCAAACATGATTTATGGAGTAAATAATTGTGACTAAGAAGTATGACGCAATATTTCGCGTCGTCTACTATTGGAAATATTAAGAGGAAATACAGGTGTTCTGTTGATTTACATTCTGATACTAATTTCAGCGCTTCACAAGATAAAATAAATCTTTAGCTAATCAGCTAATATATTATATAGAACAAAATAATATGACAAACTGACTGAGTTTCATATTTTGAGTCATCTTTTTCCAAATACGTTGCAATAGTGATGATGTCACAGGAATTAGTGCGTTCATTACTACTGTTATGATTGGGTTACTCAGCTACTACCCTCATACTGAGAAGACAGAAGGCTAATTGAGAAGCCAAGATATCACGCGAAAGGCCAAACAACTAGGAATTACAATCACCTAAATAGTTATTGTACAACACAATATAAAACCATGCTTTGATTGGCGTGAACTTAGTAAAAAAACTCACTGGCTTGACTTTCAATCTATGTTATGCATAATCAACTGGTTAGCTGTCAAGACACGTGGTAAATGAGGACTCATAATGTTTCACTTTGTGGTATATTCAATGGAGATTTTCAAACATAAATATCGACTATAAATTAGTACATATCCTCGTTGAAATCTCCCCAACCCTGAGTGCTGGGTAACACTACACTTTGTGTGGATTTCTAAGAAATCTGAGGCGATTGTTGCAACCGATTAATTATGTCAAATGTTTGAGTTACTCGCAAGATCCAAAACGCAGAATGTGTTAAGAAATAGGGTTGTAGGTTGAAAGCCGTCAAAAGCGTATTCACTTCTCGTTAACGAGAAAAAGGGTGAGGAATAGCCAGTAATAAACACGCAAATGGAAGGAACAGGAACAAAGGGATTCCAATAAACAACGTTCAACAGAGAGTGGGACGTAAAAAAGAAATGTACAGCAGATGCCGTTTAACCAAGAATGTGTATACATTATATGGCATAAATTATAATCGAAATGCATGACTATGGTTCATGATTACCTCCTTCTTAAATAAAGTACAGACTCTTACTACTTGTAAGTAAGTAGTATACAGCTAAACAAATGAAACAGTAATAGAGAATATTTAGGAAGGAATGTGCGCAGTGGACTTACCTCAGCCACCGATAGCTTTTGCGATAATGTTTGCAAGTACCGTAGGCCGGTAAGGGTGAACCATCTTGAATAAGTGCGTTCTGAGCCGTATTCAATGCACGGCGCAGTCTTCGAAAGGCCTTTTGGTCCTCAAAAGGTTCACCTGTTTTCGAAATCCCAGCTATAAAACATGGATACAATAGAAAAATTAACCGCTGGTTGGTTTCAAGCACGAATTATTAGATACTGCATGATGACAAATATTAGTTGCTTATGTAGTGCGCTGGTTTGTATTCAAACATCATTTTACTTTCCTAATACTCATAAGCGACTGCTTACTTATTGAAAATCAAAACAAGTGATTCAGCGAAGAGACTCTTTTCAACGAATTTATCATCAAGCTGTACAATCGTATATATATATATATATATATATATATATATATATATATATATGGTTTTTAAGAAGTTATATCCGGTGAGGGAATTGAATCATATGTGTGAATGCATAAAATAATAGAAATAGTATGAAATGCAAATAAAACTAAAATGTCTGTAATTATAATCGTAGTTAAATGTCAAGTGGCAAAACAAACTGTCATATATAGAATAATTCATAGGATGGCGAAAGTATTATTGATATAAGAATAAAACTTGTGCACTGTGGTACAGTACAATTCCATTGTGGGTAAAATTAATTCTGATAAAGTCTCAGTGTTATACGGTAATATTTACTGATGACAGTTCCATAAAATCTCATCAATAGTGGAAAATGGTGGGATTATCTAAGCGAACTGACAGAAACAGCTAATCATAGATCGGTAGTACTTAAGTCACCTACTTCTACACTAAACTTCGTCCTGGACTTACGTAATTCACATCACTATGCAATTTCTTTGAAATACTTTACTAAATTGTTGTTTCTAGTTTACGATAATTTCTGTTCCTTGTGACGTCATTGTATTTGTTTTTTGTCGAAGTGAGCCAACTTGAATTGGCACTTCTTCCTGCAGAGTAGTTGTACACTACTTCGTCAGTGGCATAAGTTATCTAATGGATATGGTATTTTATGCATGAGGAACGATCACAATATAACACAACCTATTAAAATGTTTGGAATTCAGAATTTCAGTCTGTGAAGTTATTAACTATCGAATTGATATATGCAGAGAGGCAGTCCTTCGGACAAAGGTCTTCAAGATGGAGAATCATGGTGTGTTGTCTCGGGAACAAAGACATACGATGTTAACATAAAATTCGCTGTATCTCTTCAAGTAAATTTCTAATATTCTGGAATTAATACACTCCTTTTGGGAATTTTACATTGTTATGTCTAACACTACAGAACACACAGCTAGTCACAAAAAATGTGTGATGCTCCATAGTAAATACAAATAAGAGTTGGAATCGCGTAGAAGCCTTATAATTACTAAACGCATAAGCCTTTTATAATCATCGAGAAAAATGAGACTGGAAGGCTTTCTAATCACTTTACTTACACAAAACATTTGATTAACTTACTACTTGGTTGTTTTATTAATTCCAAATAAAATTTGCTAAATTCTAGTCCAACTATGGAATGACACTTAAAACAACGCCGCGTATGGGGATGATCGAATCCAAGACTCTATTAGAAAAATATAAACAGTGAGTTTATGGTAAATGTTAGTCTAATTGCGTAGAAATGAAGCCACTGAGTGAAAGTGAACAATTGGGCTATGGGAGTACGTAAAGAAAGAATATACGTAGAAATATTAGAAACTGGGTGCTTATTGAATCGATAAGCTTCAGTGTAGGTGCATATAAGGCAACAAACAACCAAACTTTCTGAAACCTATGGTATATTTCCTACGCAAAATGAATTTGAGGAACTGAAGACTACACTATCGCCGAGGAAGAACAATTTGATTTTTCATTCGAACGAGAAATACTATTTCCAATATAGCGCCTTCAGTTTGCAGTTAAAATAAAATTTGTCACACTTTAGGGACAAACATGTTTCATTAGATGGTTGGAGGCAGTGGGCAGAAAAACTTGGACTAGAGTTTCGGAGTCACGGGTACTCGCAAGCAGTGAGTATCTGCTACCTCGGAGGAATCAACAATCCTTTGGAAGTTCGAGCCCGTGTTACCCAGTGTTGCAGCTACAGTCATAGCCAGGAGCGATGACTATAAATAAGGACTTCTTCAGTGAATAGCAAGATGGCTTACACTTGTAAACTAAATGTTGTAATGAATTCAGTCTAATGACAATGTGTGCAACTGTGAATTACAACAAATCATAATTCTATCCAAACAAGGGGACCGTCCACCTGATCAATCAGAAAATTTAGGATTTCACCATAAGCTGACACCGTTTAGAGAGCCATTGGGAAACCTGTTTCGTCCTACCTTGTGACTCTCCACAGTACGCATTCACAACTAGGGTTCGAATCTTCTGGTTGAAGGCGAGCTCGTAGACTATAAAGCCACTGGGACGCGATCCAATGGCTCATGAATTCCAACTTCTGCCAATTTACGACATTAGTGGTGCGAACTATGAAGAGTCCCGAACTAAGACGAAACAGCCTAGGTTTTCCAATGGTTCTCTAACCGATGTCAGCTCATGATGAAATCCTGTAGCCAATCAATCGAATCCCCACAAACTAATACTAAAAAATTTATAGTTGACATACAGATAATACACTTCTTTCTGAAAAAAATGGGGAGGTTTGAGATATTAGATTTAATGATATACATCTAGTTAGACACTTCATGTGAAATGAAGCGAAAACATTCTGTTTGAAAGTGCTTTTTTAAAAGTAGAGAGACTAGTGAGGAGAAACTTATATAGTGAAAGTATGTGCACACAATTTCCGACTTTCGTTACCTTAAAATACAAGTGAAATGCGGTAAAACCTCTGGTAAATAGAATAAGGGCTATATGTTCTATTGACACCATTGAAGGACTTACTACGCTTGTGTTATTTATTAATTTAAACGCAGAAAAATCCTGGTACAATATGGCACCAAGAAAGATGCGCCACATACTTTTGATCTATGCTGTTTTATTATTATTATAAAAAAATATACGTAGAGAACGGATAAAAAACTTCATCTGGAAGGAAAAAAGTCATGCTTAACAAGCTCAAACAGTATTCGTTAACTATCATCGGGAAGGGAAGAAAGAAGGAAATTGCAACACGTTCGCTGTTGATTACGATTCTTGGCGATATCCGATAACGTTTCGAGCAATCTAGCGGACCCCAACCATGGGGTGGTGACGCATCAACCGATGCTTACCTAACACAAATGTCCTTCATCTCACAACGCCACGTCATGGACTGATCACCTCTCCGCCTTTTCCATCCCGTCCCAAGGCTAGCGAACAGAGACCTGTACGGAAGCCTCTGGGGTGACATTCGCAGCACATGTCCAAGCCACCGGAGCCGGTGTCTGCAAGTGACGACACTCAGTGAATGATGATCTCCACTGTGTTCGAACACACGCTACCGAACCTCAGAATTACTCACGTGGTGATGCCATCGAACGTAAGCAATCCTGCAGGGACAGCGATAATCGAATACGCAGAGGTGCCACACATACTCAATTCGGAGAGGCCAGGTTTCTCACAGGTGTAGAGCAAGCAGCCCGCACCGAAGCATTGTATACCCGACCTTTGACAGCCAGGGTAACGTCGCGACAGCGCCAGAGGTGGCTAAAGTAGACGTATGCTACCCTAGCTTTCATGATACAGCTGGGAGTCTCGTTCATCACACCTCCACCAGCACTCATACAACTACCCAGATACACAAACTCATCAACAACTTCAAGCGGTTCACTTGCAGGTACAGGCTCTGGCCAATCTTGTAACACTACCTTGCACTATGGTGGCGCAAAACACATACCATACTTACAGACACTGATCGCAAACTGATTAAGTGCAATTTGGGCAGCCCGCATGCCATCGTACAGTAAGACGATAACGTCTGCATACTCGAAGTCGAAAAGTCCTTCTCCAGGAAGCAGACCTACACTACCACCACTACGCACGTCCTTCAGAGGTGACTCTAGAATGTCATTGATGACAAAGTCAAAGAGAAATGGAAAGATTACGCAACCCTACCTAACCTCACTGTTGGTTAGGAACAGTGATGACAGCTGGTTGTATGCCCTGACTCCACCCGAGGTGTTTCCGTATAGGGCTTTCCAGGACATTAACAAACTTTTCAGGCACACCCGTCCTCTAAAAGACAGTTCCAGAGAACAGTTCTATCCAACGAGTCGAAGGCAGCCCTGATATAAAGAAACACTACGATTGTTGGCCTGCGGTATGTATGACAATGTTCCAACAACCGACAAAGAATGAACATATGACCCACGGCCTGAACGAAACTCAACCTGCTTTTCGCGAATCGAATCCTCATGTATTCGGCACAGCCTTGTCAAGTAAAACAACAGCCAATATTTTAGACGCGACTGGTAGCAGACTGATACCCTTATGATTGTCACACGAATTACGTCAACCCTTTTTAAAGATGGGGAAGATAATCGCTTCGTTCCACATTGATGGTACACTCTCAGTCTCCCATACCTTCCTGAACAAACCAGTCAAAGCAATAACCAGAATCTTGCTACTATCTTTAAAAAGAGCCGGGAGTAAATTGTCTGGGCCAGGTGCCTTATAGTGCTTCAACACTTGGAGTTTCTTTCGGACCTCTGCTTCGACTGGTGAGTCAGTAGTGACCGACCAAAGAGCATTGTAGCTGATGACGGTGGGTGCTGGCGCTGGTGGCCAGCTAAACTGCTTCTCAAAATGACCTGCCCAGCGTTCCAGGAGTCTTTTCAGGCCGTTAATTGGCGTGGTGATTAATCATTACCATTGTCTTCCATTTTACAATATTTTCTAATCAATTTCAGCCTAGCACGTTTGTCACACAAATATGACTATTTATTTTGACACCCCATAACTAATCTGTTATTCTGTATCTGCCGCATAACTGGCCTTTATTGTAACGATAAGAAATATTATATTTTATAATTGTAAGAACATGAAGAGAAATGATTGAAAAGAATATTCTTCGTTCAGATTGACTATTAACATAACCTATCAGGGGTCCACGTTAAGATCTTACGGATTTACCATCGTTTTTAGATGTGCAGGCAGGTGTGACAGCTAGTTAATAAAATAAACTTAAAGAAATACCACAGATCAATAATGGAAAATCAGTAACTTACAACAATTCGTATAGAACTGAAACACTCAGTACAATATATAATGCCATCAGACTGTTTTGGTGGGACATCATCAGCAATGCAACCATCTAAATATAAAGTTCCAACATTTTTGTCAAATGCATGGGCTAAATTCGCTTGGAAAAGTAAAGTGAATTTTTGCTGACAACGTGCACAGTGTGCTGAATAGGGAGGAAGTGATCGTAGAAACCGATTTATCATATCAGGACTATTAAAGTTACTCGAAGTCGGTACTCTGTGGAAACTAAAAAGCCATTGGAAGGGTAACCTGCAACGAGTACAATGTAGCGAAGCAGACAGACGTCGTTGTAAAAACGTTCCTGCTTTACCAAATAGTCTAAGATCACTCATTATTAGGTTTTGCGTACCAGGTGTGGTTAATTTGGAAGAATCGGACATATTTGCATACAATATTTTGCTTTCATTTATTGAAGCGTAAGTATTTTCAGGGTCTACATCACCTTCATCATTGTCAGTTGATTTTAATACAAAATCATCAGTTTGTGAATTAGCTTCATCTTTGTGTGATGAAAGACTCTCAGCAACTGAAATGTCATCGCTTCCGTCGTCATCACCGTCACTCAAGTTTTCTTCTGCTGGAACTATAGGATGAATAAAATGTGTGTGACTATAATCGTCCAGTGATGAAGTCTTTAAAGAAGTCTCGCTTTTGACTCGATCACAGATAAGATGATTATTTCTTTCATTTTTTAATATATCTGAATTTGAATAAGTTGACAGACAGTTACCAGTTTTGTTAAGTATGCCTTTATTGTTTTCAAAAAATTCCGCATTATCTTTAATTTGCGACTTTTTGCTAACATTCAGGTCTCGGTTTATTTGTTCATCGTCTATAATTGGTTTGCTAGATACAACAGGTGGTATTAAACCAATGAGATTATCATCGACCAACGATGAAGTACTTTTACACTTCTGATTTTCTGTGTATTGGCGCTGGCATATATTATATTCACTATTTTTAGTCGATACTGCACTCAAGCTCTGACCAAATTCTCCACTCTCCAACAGTGCTTTATACTACAGAAATAGAAAACGATTAAAGATTATTTCAAGGATACCAGTGTTTTAGTGACAATGTTACTTAACACGGGAATAAAAAACTCGTACGTCTATGGGGATAGGGTAACATTTATAACAACTTTCACTGAATCCAATAAAAGCAAAACTTAGTGACGTTCGCACCTGAACACGTATAATGAATATACACAAACGGTACGCCGGGAGAGGAGATAATAATACTGACAGATGTCAACTGAAAATGATTGATCAGTGAAATTCAATAGCTCACAATAAATGGTAGCAGTAGTAAGACCACCTTGTTCTGAAGATGTATTTATGAAGCCACTATATATATTCATTATTCTTCATTATGTAATTTCACTTCTTTTTATAATTTTTTGAAAAATTCGCGAAATCGTTACTAAGTTATCTGACATGACATTGCTGAATACTGTGGTATAAATAGTGCGATATCAGATGGTAAGAGAAGCTAATCGGTAGACTTCTTGACACATCATAGTGACCTCATTTGTTGTATTTCTACTTAGTATCTCTTTTTATGCTACTAGGAATTTTGACTGTTTGTTCTGGTGTACTTCAGTAACAAGTGTGATACTGTTCCGTTTATAGACTTACAAATATTTTCAAACATTTAATTTAAACGGCGTTTGGATATCTATAGCTTGAACGCCATTTTTCTAACTTCTGAATCCTATTCTTTTCAGCTTCATTGATTATAGCTTCGCTACTACTTTAAAAGTTTGACGATTAAAATACTGTTGACAATATTACAAGAATTTTACAAAACAAAGAGAAGTATTTAAAAGCTTACTTTACGTAAGCCTTCAGTGAACATTTCTTCCAGATTACGATCAAGCCAAAAAAATAAAGGTCGAAGATACGGTTCTATTCGTTTCATTCGTTCGAAATATTCATGTTTACATCTGATCCATGACTCGATGGATTTATTCAAATGTCTGTATAAAAAAGGAACATGCGTAAAACAATGTATTCTAACTAGAAGTGGTCTAAATTACGCAAAAGTGCACAGATTTTTACTTACTCAACCAAAACATTTGGTAAATGCCCTTGCATTAATACTCTGACCTGAACTGGTTCTTTTGGATACATATTTGGAATGGTTATATTCAACACAATTTCACGGACATCATAAACCTAAAAGGAGAAAAATGCGGTGACGTTACGTTACGGAAAACTCCAGTGAAAAACATCTGAACACTTTTTTCAACCACTTATTAAATGATAATCAATTGAAAGGCGAACAGTAAACATGGTAAGCAATATCAATGTGATTTAACCAGTGCGTGAGTCCAACATTTTCACTATCAGAAATATGCGAATGTGAACAAAAAAATAATAGGAACTAATCCTGTTTTGACCAAATCAACTAAGTTTCAAGAATTTCTGAACTGATGAATAGAGGATAATAATAATCAGTTATTATTATTAATCAGTAATCCCGACCGAAAGCTGCTACCTTGACGTGGTGGTCGGGCTTGAACACCGCAATGTCCCAACAAGCTATACTGGCTAAAACTTATGTCTCTTGAGGTCCTACCATGCCAGAAAGGTTGTTTGGATAGCGGTTAGACAAAAAGCAGCTACCCAATCCAATACTATGATACATACAAACTCACAAAATATCATGCCGGATCGGCCGGGGCCCGGATTAACAAGGACCGCGCTTCCTGCTGCCGTGTCACATGGCAGAAGTGATGAATATGCTACTGAGACACACCAAACAATAAAGAACAAACAAAAACAGGCCGCGTGTGACCGGCCTCAAGCAGTTGTCCCCTGGGCTCTGCGGTCACGCAACCAACTTCCACGGTGTGGGCGGCCGGGGAAGTAACAATCGCCCTCACAATCCGAAATGCACACGATACCTCTCTAATACTCAATAATCAGTAATAATAATAATACTAATAATTCTCAGGATCTCCACCTACGCCCCAATCAACTGCACTTCAGACGAAATAAAAGTTAAGTTCAATCAAAAACCGTCTAGTTAGCTGCGAAAACCAAAACGCTCAGATATAGTCGTTCTAGCGGGCGACTTCAATGTCCAAATAAGGAAGGTATGCCAGACTAAGAAGTATGTGGGTGGTACCTATGGAGTTCCCTGCCGAAGAACCGACAGTGGTGACTGTCTTCTAAAGTTCCGTTCAGATTATCATCTGTTCCTGTTCATCACAAGCCACACTCAACCTTCCGAACATCCAACACCTCCCTGAATGGGATATAGACACAGGTCCTCCATCCCTAACTGAGGTTACTAAAGCTGTCTCCAATCTGAAACTAGGCAAAGCAGCGGGACCTGATGGAATGACTCCAGAGGTATTTAAGTACGGTGGAGACAGTTTACTGTCTGCATTAACTGAGGTACTAGGCAGCGTCTGGGAATCAGAAGAAGTCCCATCGGGTTGGTGTAAGTCACTGATTATCCCCATATACAAGAAGGGAGACAAGTCTTCCTGTGGTAATCACAGAGGGATCAGCTTGACTAATATAGTATCTAAAGTCTTAGGCTCAATAATCATGCGTAGACTAAGTGGTGCTCGGGAGGCACAAACACGAGAGAGCCAGGCAGGCTTTAGACCAGGAAGAGGGTGTATTGATCATATCTTCACCCTCCGACAGATTCTAGAACATAGGCATTCCTACCGGCGTCCAACAGTCATTATATTTCTTGACCTAAAGGCAGCATTCGACTCTGTCGATCGAGAAGTTCTCTGGAGATGCTTGGCTGTAAAGGGAATTCCGAGAAAATATATTGCACTGATTAAGGCACTCTACTCGTACTCATACAGCCAGGTGAGGGCTTACGGCGAGCTGTCATCTGAACTGATGACGACCAGTGGTGTCCGTCAAGGATGCCCATTATCCCCTTTTCTATTCAACTTCATCATAGATGTGTTAATGGACTTAACCCTAGGTGACTTCAGCGACTCAGGGATTGACTTGCTACCAGGGAATAATCTCGTTGACTTGGAATATGCAGACGATATAGTCCTTCTAGGCGAAGACGCTGACGAAATGCAGAGTCTTCTAAACACCTTGAGCCGCAATCTACGAAAGTTTGGCATGCGATTCACTCCCGCCAAATGCAAGATGATGTTACAGGACTGGACTACATCGACGCCTAGTTTAAAAATAGGAAGTGAAGTGGTAGAGCACGTTGACCGCTTCACTTATTTGGGAAGTACCATCAGCCCCAACGGGCTGATCTCTGACGAAATCTCAGCACGAATACAGGGGCTCGTTTCGCATTTGCCAGTTTACGCCGACTCTGGCGTAGACGAGATGTTCGACTATCGACCAAAGGGCGGGTGTACTGCTCATCAGTCCGCTCCGTCCTCCTTTATGGTTGTGAGACCTGGCCACTGAGAGTGGAAGACATGAAAAGACTAGCTGTCTTTGATCATAGGTGCCTGCGCTCTATTTCCCGTGTAAAGTGGCATAATAAGGTGAGCAACATTGAGGTTAGGCGTAGAGTTCTAGGTAAACAGGGGAAATCAATCGACGAAGTCGTGAAGCTACAGAGACTGAGATGGTTAGGACATGTGTTACGTATGCCAAGTCATCGCCTCCCTCGACGAGCAATGTTAGCGGATATAGGGTCAGGCTGGAAAAAAGCTAGCGGCGGTCAAACAAAAACTTGGCACCAGTCAATGAAATCCACAACAGTTGGTCTAAGCCACGTAGGAAGGTGTAGACTTCCAGGCTGGGGTCCTCGGGACGGTAAAAATCTATGGTTGGAAACAATTGGTGACATGGCTCAAAATCGTTCTCAGTGGCGCAGATGCATCCACTCCTTGTGACTTATGATCTCCAATGAAACTGTTTTGTTCTTCGTTATTACTCCTCCTTTGTCTCACACCTCTGCTCACTGTTTCTATTATGCTTTTCTTGTACTTTCTTCTCTTGCTTCGCGTGCTACACGGAGTGTGGCGACTTGAACTTCCGCACATTTGTGCAAAGTTCTATGTCGAAAACAGACAGACAGACATCACTAACTTCAAACACAAAGAGGGAAATTGCCTAACCTGGCGACCTCCATCACCAAATCAACGTTAGATTCAAATAAACGACATACCGATAACCTTTAGTTGGCGAAATGAAACCGTTAAGCCCTGAAATTTGATCAGGACAATGAGTCCCTATTTACGGGAAAAATAGCGAAACGAGTATCCGAGGTTAACAGCAAAACCCCTCCTTAGGAAGACTGGCAATATATCTAGTCAGTTGTACATACAGCAGTAAAGGCTGATCATAGCCTAAAACCAAAGAATAATAAATGACAGTAGATTTCTGCTACTTTATACGAACTGAGAGATGCAAGAAGACTGATTTCAGTGGGCTCCGAATATGATGAGGAGCGAAAGCTGCTCAAACACAAACTGACGAAATGTATTCGCACCAACCATGAACTGTGGTGGGCGATATAATCGGAAGAGCTGGAAAAGGTATCGGCGACAGGCAACACCAGACAACTGTTCAGGCTTATGAAGAACACAGGCGGTAAATAGCGTATGATAAGTGAGAGAATCGTCGAGAAAAATAGCACCATAATTAGCTCGGCATAGAGGACTGGAATGTTGGAAGGAACATTTTGAGGAGCAATTTAATTGGGCTACAGCCACGCTTAACCTCACCCAAAACCTACCTAAAATGGATGTTGACAACGTTCCTCCCTCTGAAACTGAGGTTACGAAGGCTGTCTCTCATTTGAAACGAGATAAAGTCGGAGAACTTGATGAAATGGCTCCAGAAGTGCTATAAACGGTGGTGAACAATATGTCCTCTGGGTTTACTATGGTGTTAGACATTGTGTGGGAATCAGAGAGAGTCTTGTTGTTCTGATGTAAGCCATTGTTTAACCCATTATACAAAAAGCAAGACAAATCTTCCTGTGGTAATCATAGGGGGATTAAACCGACTTATAGGGAATCTAAAATCCTATGATTAGTAATCATCCGTAGACCAAGTGGTACTTGTGAGAAACGAACGCGAGAAGACCACACAAGTATTAGACCAGGAAGAGGATGTATTGATCATAATTTCACCCTTAGACAGACTCGGAAACACAGGCATACCTACCAGCATCCAACAATTGACATATTTCTTGATCTAAAGGCGGAATTCCAGCTGTCATATGAATTGATGGAAACCAGTGGTGATTGTCAGGAATGCCCACTGTTCCCATTCCTGTTTAATTTCATCATAGATATACTAACGGACTTAACCCTAACTGACTTCCCTGGTCTGTTACCAGGGAATAATCTCGTTGACTTAGAATATGCAGATGATGTAGTCATTCCACCTGGATGAAGACGCTGGCAAAATGCAGAGTCTTCTGAACACCTTCAGCAGAAATCTTCGGATGTTTGACACGCAATTCGCTCCTTTCAAATGCAAGACGATGCTACAAAACTGCATGGACGCCTAGCTGAAAAATAGGGAGTGAAGTGGTAGAGCGTGTTGACCACTCCACTTATTTGGGAAGTTGCATCGGCCAGCCCTAATAGGCCAATTGCTGGCGAGATCTCAGCACGGATACAGAGGGCTCGTTTGACATACGCCAGTTTACGCCGTCTCTGGCGTAGACGTGATATGCAACTATTAATCAAAGGACGTGTGTACTGCTCTGCAGTCCTCTTCATCCTCCTTTATGGCTGTGAGTCATGCTGGTCATTGGAAGTGGAAGACATGAAAAGGGTGGCTAGCTGTCTTTGATCATAGGTGTCTGCATTCTATCTCCCGTGTTAAGTGGTATAATAAGGTGAGCAATACTGAGGTGAGGCATCAGTCGATTGCTAGGTAGGAGGGGAAACTAATCGACGAGTCTGTGAAGTTACATCGATTGAGACGGCTAGAACATATGTTAGGCATATGTATGAAATCTTTATCATTCAGCTTGAGACACTTATGGAGGTGTAGACTGTGTGGTTAGGGTCCTCAGGATCCTGAGAATCAATGATTGGAGAGAAATGGTGATATGGTTGGAAATTGTTCTCAGTGGCGCAGATGCATTCACTCTTTGTGATCTGCCATATCCATTAAACCATGTTGTTTTCCTATGTCACTATTCTTTCTCCTTCACATTTCTGCTTATCATTGTGTTTTCAAATCTCTTAATTTGTGTCTCTTGTCTTTATTTGTAAGCCACATGGAATGTGGCAACCCAAACTGATGTACTTCTGCTCATATTTCTGTGATGAGACCAGAGAGTCAGTCAGCGATGAATACAGATGCATATGTATGTCTTAATCACGAAATCTATGATATCAGCGGACAGCACAATACGAAGAACATCCACCATATCTAATTATTTTCCTCAGAATTTGAATACCTAATGTTAATGGAATAGAAGCACTTCCAATACATTAGAAAGGGATGATAATGTTTAGTCTGTAGGCGGATTATAAAGTCTCAGCTACACACACTTTTCAGATAGCTATTCATTGGAGACTTCTATTCAATATTATGAACAAATCTTCCGACTTTAACAGCAACTATACGGTCACAAAACGTGCTCCTGAAGGCAAAATCTAACACAAAACCTCATTTTGTGTAGAGGTGCTGATCAGCCGGATTCGTCTAGGGACAAAAGCCATGCTCTTTTAAACAGGTATGCAACAGTTAACTGATATAAGGATGATGGACTGATGTCTGTAACATTTTTAACAATTTGGTGGGTTATTCTGTGAAAGGTTAAACTCCCAATTTGGTAATAAACTAGTGCAGCTAACAAGAATACGACTTTCATATACATGGATATAAGCTACTAATATTGCTAGGGTTGGCTACAAAATCTGGCAACCCCAACCTTCGTCGATACTTAGAGTTTAGAAATGATGACATCCATAGTAAAGATGAAAGAAGAGAACACGAAGTTCAGCAAAGATATCTTTTCGACGATTTCATTTTCAAAAGCTATACAATCGCATTTAAATACACAATTTTGCATGGATACAATTCTTGTTTGATTCTACATAATTACGACGGCGAATAAAAGGTGATAATTATTTTCAACTAGATATGGTTTACGAGAGGCTTAAAAAAATACACAGGATGAGAACGGATAACAAGTGTGTAAAAATGAGCATGGAAACGAAATTGACATAATTTTAACTTGAAATGGAAGTTAGGTGTGAATATAGATTACAAGAGCCTTAGAAACACAAAAATTCCACAGGGTTACGATATAATTATAAAATAGTTATTTTAAACGAATTATAAATATGAACAGGAAAAACGTGGAAACAAACTTAAAATAACTGTTTTTATAATTGAAAAAATGGGGTGAATCGAATGAAGACAGAGGGAGTAAGAATCACACACACAGCGGACGAAAAAAGATCAAAAGGAAAAAGAGAACGAACGAAGAAAAAAACGGAAGCTACGGGAACATACCGAACTAGCTGCATGATAGTTGTGAAGGTTGGACTAATTTCTTTTGAACACAAAGCTCCGGCTTCTCGATGCATATTGCCAGGGCTTCTGAAGTACAGAGAAGTCGGAAAAATACTGCTTTTGGTAGGTTTCTGTTGACTTTGTAAATTCCTGTGTAATCCTGAGTAATTTTGTTTTTAAGCCTCTCGTAAACCATATCTAGTTGAAAATAATTATCACCTTTTATTCGCCGTCGTAATTATGTAGAATCAAACAGGAATTGTATCCATGCAAAACTGTGTATTTAAATGCGATTGTACAGCTTTTGAAAATGAAATCGTCGAAAAGATATCTTTGCTGAACTTCGTGTTCTCTTCTTTCTAATATCCATATGAGTGTTTTCCACCCTTGTTCATAGTTTTTAGATCAAATCTGTGAACAAAATCAGTCCTCTTCTTCCTACTACTGCTACCAATAATAATAATAACAATAATAATACAATCGACATTTTTGCAAAGTTTGAGGCTGAATTGACTGACTGACTGGTTTCAACGTGCAACTTTGCACCGATATGCAGCAGTTCCAGTTACCACTGTCCTCCCCGCCCCCCTCAATGTAACACACAAAGCAAGAGAAGAGAGTAAAGAACGATTAAAAACAAAAAAGACAATAAAAAGAGAGATGAGGCAAAAAGAATAGTAATATGGAACAACAGTAGAATTTCACTGAATATTCTAAATCACAAAGAGTGGATGCCTCTGCACCAGCCATTGAGAACGATTTTGAGCCATGTCACCAATTGTCTCCAGCCACTGACCCCAACCAGGAAGTCTACACCTTACTACGTGGCTTAAACTAACTGTTGTGAATTTTACCGCCTGATGCTATGTTTTCGTTTGACCATCACTAGCTCTTTTCCAGCCTGGTCCTATGCCAACTAACATTCCCCCTTCGAGGAAGGCGATGTCTAGGCATACGTAACATATGTCTTAACCATCTCGATCGGTGTAACTTCACAGACTCGTCGATTAGTTTCCCCTCCTACCTAGCAATCGACTGATGCCTCACCTCAATATTGCTCACCTTATTATACCACTTAACACGGGAGATAGAATGCAGACACCTATGATCAAAGACAGCTAGCCACCCTTTTCATGTCTTCCACTTCCAATGACCAGCATGACTCACAGCCATAAAGGAGGATGAAGAGGACTGCAGAGCAGTACACACGTCCTTTGATTAATAGTTGCATATCACGTCTACGCCAGAGACGGCGTAAACTGGCGTATGTCAAACGAGCCCTCTGTATCCGTGCTGAGATCTCGCCAGCAATTGGCCTATTAGGGCTGGCCGATGCAACTTCCCAAATAAGTGGAGTGGTCAACACGCTCTACCACTTCACTCCCTATTTTTCAGCTAGGTGTCCATGCAGTTCTGGCATATGCGAAACAAGCCTTCTGGATACGTGCTGAGATTTCATTATCTGAGTTAATTCATATTGTAGAAGCATTGTTTGCGAATTATATTTTAGTTATCGAAATATTGAACCTATGCTAACTGTAATGGTTAAGCTAGGATATTTGAGGAGCAAATCAGAGAAAAGTTGAGGGTGACCACAAAAGACAGTGATGGCTTATCAGGGTCATGCAAGAAATTGTGTTTGAACTTGGATGTACAATAATGTTCTGACTCATTTGTCTAAAACAGGGTTTTGTGTATAAGCCTACCAGACAGAAATGATGTCGGGGCTGATGATACTAAACAGATATCCAGACTAAGGTACGTGGAGGGAGATTCAAACCAAGTGGCTTAAACAATTGAACTATAACTCCATATGAAAAAGTGAAATTCTATGCTCCTGACTGCGCATGATTATACTTCTGGGAAGCATATCAATGTGAACTGTAGGAATTTATTAAGGCTGGTGAACTGGTAAACTATACAGTCACAAATTCAACCTATGGTCAAACGATCCTCATTCGTGAGATATAGCGCCATTTTTAGAATGTTATACTAAATATGCTATACGTAATTCTACTCATAATCGGTCTTAAAATCGATAAAATATACAAACAAAATTGTGGAACGCCTACTATGGCACGATCTCACATAAAAATGCAACAGTGGATGATAAATCTCCAGTTCTTGTTTACAACAGAAAATTTATCAAAACGATAATTTACAGAGGTGTAAAAATAGTTTTGGTCAAAGTTGTCATTTTTTTCGCTCAGCATTAGTAAAAACTCTTACCCAGTCTGGATCACTTGAAGAAAACTTGATGCAAAATATGTGATAGTCCTTACTCGATTCCACTTCACATAATTTATCTGTAAGGAAGCGCTTCTTCAGCCATTCAATTTCAAACTGATTTAGCGAATAGACTTCCTCTTTTGAGGCACTCTGGAGACTAAGCATTTTCGCAGAGCCAGGTTTTATGCAGGAATATGCAGCATTATGTACCATATTCTCACTACTCGTGCAATTAGATAGTAAAGTCCTTTTTGTACTTGATAATTCAATAAGTATTGGGGATGAAATTCCAGAAACGTTACTTTCGGGGCGATATTCATTTGGCGTAACAACATTCCCGGACTCTGAAAACTGACTACCGATAGACAGTCCTGCTAATTTTTTCGCAGCACGATATTCTTCTAACGTAACTCCATTGTCATGATGATTATCAACATCGTGAGAGAAACTACACTTATCTCCGTATTTGCACTGGTTATTTGCAAAGAACTGACATGGTTTTTTCAGCAAGCTAACATTAGTTGGTTTGACGGATGGATCATGCCAAAAATGACAGTTGTACCCATAGGGGCACCACCCATCGGCAGCGAAAGTACGACAACGAACTTTTGGATGTACAAAAGTGCAAATATCTCCATTTCTGCAACAACCCGCCTGGTAATAGTGGCAAACAGGTGTGTAAGGCATCTGAGCAATTAGAAACAAAATATAGTAGAATTATAAAACTTACATAAAAAGCCTGAAACGCACATAAAGGTAAAAAGCGAATAATTCATAAATCTGCATTTAGATACTTAGAAAAAATAAATAAAATGTAAGGAGAAATAAAAGTCATTTCCAACTGGTTCATCATCAGTTACTCCATATAGCTTTCTAAAATGATGCATCGAAATAATACAAATCATATGGTAATGTATTGTTCAGCAAGAAATATCAATCACGTAGTATAGAAGTGGTGAAGACCGCGGTTATCAGGGCCAGTTAATTAATAGCAATCAGCAACAACCTGCATGTATATTTACCAGTACAGTTGCTCATAGGGAGTCCAATGCACGTGTACTACTAGGGAATTTCACTGTTGTATTTCCAAACCTAAAAGCTACACGTAGCTAAACACTAGCTCACCTCATGGGTACACGACATTAAGTCTACAATAATAGAGCTCTTAAAGTTATCACATTTCGTCTGACCCAACTCACAGTACATGCGTGTCACTTCCATATATGGCAGAGGTGGTCGGAATCCATCTGAACAGGCCGAATGTGTTATTAATAATAACTGAATAGTCAACCGACCGACATCTGTTTCCTATGTAAAAACACTGACATAATTTTCGAAAACAAATTAGTGAGAACGACCTCGTGGCACACCAATATCGGATAAAAATTACTTCGAAACTAATCTTAGCATGCAGAAACGGAGCTAATTTTCTGCAACCTAAGAGTAATTCCACTGAACAACAAAATACGTCAGTGAGGTCGAGATAATTTTAATTCAGTAGACTGATGTCATTTGGTTGTGTGTCTGTGGTTCAGTGATGGAGTGCTCGCCAATAACTACGCATATGTTCCGTGTTTGATTCTAAGCTGGTGCATTACCAATCCTTGTCCAATTTACTAGTCAACAGAAAGCACGGAAAGAGATAAGCCTGAGCGTGAAACTGGCAGCCCTACTTAGTAAAGGAAACAACACAACATACTGAAACTCCAGTTCTCCAAGCCTGGAAACCTGTTTCACTCGGAGAGCATAGTAATGAAAAAAGAGTGACTTGGTAATTGAAACGACGGGTGCTCAGTTGGAATACCCGTCAGACCGCTGTTGCTAATTGAAGGTGTATGTGTATCGGGCTAACGAGTCATAAATGGGACAGAACATGATTCCTAAATTTTACTTTTAACCATCACTAAGTAAGGTTATTACTAATATACGATACGAAGGTCATTTGGATTGCATTTTACCATATCTCAAGCGTCTGTCCCACCTTTGACTATCACACCTCATACAAATAAGAAATGGTTAAATTCATACTAGAATTCTTTTCATTCATCAATCCGTACGAAAGTTCTCAGGTTAAGGTGACACGTTTTACATATTTCGGAATTCGTAAAATGAATTGGAGATTCAGATGTGCGGAAAGAAATGAAAACAGACTAGACACACGCTAAAGAGACTACTGAGTAACATCACATGCCAGGAGGCCTCTGAGTGGCTACGACACGTCTAGTATATGCCGAACCAGTGCCTACGGCATTGCCAGTCCGTATAGAATTAGTCTAGAAAAGAGCTCGTGCGGTCAAATCAAAACATGGAACCCATCCATAAAGCCTTCGAATGTTGTTTTGCGTTATGCAGGGAGCTGTAGACTGTTTGGTTGGGGTCCTCAAGACGTTGTGGACCAAAAATAGTTCCTGTGTGTTGGATCGCATGTCCAGACGGTTTTCACAAAAAATGAGATTCTCTCCATGATCACGAACTTGTGATATTTCAGCATTTACTGACCATGAAAGGATTTATCTCAAGTCTTGGCAGCATTGTATCCGACTGTGCGTCGGTGGCACAGCGGTTAGGACTCTCGCCGACCATGCACATACATGTGCATGGCTTTAACTCCATGGCTCGAGATTCGACCCCTGCCGACGCACACCTGATATCTATAGTCGACCTGCAAAATTTCGGCTACCGATATCCATGCTGAAAATTCCATACTTGTACCAAAAATCAAGCTGTAATCAAAACTAAAATAAAAAATATTGTATGCCTTGAATTTCGAAAATTAACGAACTCTATGAGAAAAAGTTCAAACTAACCTTTATTTTCTTACAAGCAATGTTAATTGAACCGATAGAAACTTTCACACATGAGCAATCCCAAATACCTACGCAGAATATCGCTAAGATCACATCCCGACAACGTATATAAAATGAGCACACCTCGACGATAGAGGACAGCGGCGCAAATCGCTTACGGAGAGGGTGAGCACTTGAAGGTCACTTATGCACACTGTGATTGGTAGATTTCCGCCGAGGGAAATCTAATACGTGTTGCACGTTACTGAGGCGGGTTTTAAAATAGCATTAATAAAATCGGATAGGCGTTATATTTTTTAGCTTAGGGGAACAAGTTAACATACGTATAAATTGGCTGGACTTATTTATCGCGTAATGTTGAATTCCGCTTGGAAACTCTTTTTTGCCAATAATTTTAAATAAAATTGTGTTATATGTTATATAGATTTATGGGAATTCCCATTTTTGGCTAGTTATGTTGGTGTCCACGTCATGTGATCTGACTGCGACACACTTTTAGCATATTGGTTGCAATGATTAGTGTTTCAGGTGGACTGTATCAAAATATCGGTGTAATGAGAAAGATAAGATAGTTAGAGGGTAATGCCATCTACACAAATCGTTTACTCCATGTAGAAGCTGCACCTTTCGGCATAGTATCATTCAATGAAGACTTCTTGTCTCAGGATATCAATACAACCTATTTTCGTGTGACGAACAGTCTTTTTTGACAAAATAATTCTCTCAGTACTTGGAAATCACCTGCAAATGCTATCAGAATCGTTTGTGGGAACCTAAGTTGTCATTTAGATGTGCTTTTCACTCTGTCTGTGGTTGGACAGGAATTATGGTAAGTTGAAAGGTTATCTCTAAGTGGATTTCATGTATATTGGCACTGATTGGTGCAGTCTGCTATGGGTTATGTGAATTAAATGTACAAAAATATTTCAACTTTAATAATATTGTGCCATTGTCTACTTAGCTGACTGATAGGATAACAAACGAAGGTGGTTGTCACGATTATTGCCAGTACGGTGCAGTGGAGAAGGCAATTACTCGTTTAAATTTCCTTGCTGTTCCACTTAATGCATTAATTCATTACACGGTATGATTATACGCATAAATTGTGGTGATTATGAGAACTGAATCTATTCAGTTTTATTATCATTATTATGAATCTATTGTCTGTTTTACAATTTCCACTGGCTATACTTAATGCTGCAATATTTTTGATCACCAATAGTGGAGACGAATTTCTCCTGAGATTTCCATTTAGACAAAGCAGTACAGATGCGCTGTGACGATTGAATTTTCTAGTTTGCATTATATGACATTATTATCTTCGTCAACACAACAGGTCTGTGTACTTTACAATAGTTGAAGTGTTTCGCTATGTTGTTAGCACTGTGAAAGGCTGTCTAGAGTTGAGGCATGTTCAGCTTATATTTGATGCCTATAGTCTCCTAAATGTGAAAATGTGATTTCTGTAGGATTCACAAAACCTTGTGGACTAGACATTACTGAGATTGTGGATTAATTTCTAAGTTATACATTTGCAATACTTCCTTTCATGTAAACATATTTAGTGTGAAAATGATCTGCAAACAATCTTATTATGAGGAAGACGCCTCAATAGTATGGATGTTTCGGAGATTGTCTTGAAATTTGCGTATAATCCTCTAATACAGGAAAACATATGATGTATGTTTATGTATACGGCGTCAACATAAAAATCAGCTATAGACTACAAATACATTTATCTGCATGAGATATTACTTAGTATTGACAGAATTATTGTATTCATGGTATATGCTAATATGTAGAATTATCTCTTGTAACTTCATGTTGTGCTAGTTTTACATGTACTTTATTTTTTCAGGTATATGGAGGTTGTCGAATATGAAATCAACGGAAAAATCATTCGGTCAAACTAACGTTAATACCCTTCATCAGGATTTTCTTTTGTAAATTAATCAAATGTTTAATATACTCTTGATATGTAATTCCTCTGGACTTTTTCAGTTGGTTGCTATACTATGTGCTTTTGTAATAGGTGAATTAGGAATAATAAACGCTAAGCTTAGTTAGTGGGATAGAGATTTACTGTAGTATTATGAGACTGTTACTTTAGTCATTAATAGGATTTCGTGTCTGTTTCTACACAATAGCACATTGTAAAAGCTAAGTGGGATTTAGCAAGTTGAATAATAATTCTATACTGTTCAATACTCTAGCTAGTTGCAAGTCTGTATACTGTTAAACGCCAAGTATGTGGTACAAGTAAATGTAGTGACTTAGGCTTGATAGCTGCTTCACTAATCTGTTAATATGCAGTGACATCATCAAATAGACTGTTCACTTGACAATGAGGTAAGAAACAATTTTTATTTATTTCTAATATGCCGTTGAATCATAGGATGTTGTCTAATATCCATCATTTCTATGATCAACAACTGCGGTATTTGCATATCTACATTATGGATATTAAATACATTACGCCTTCATGCATCTAACTACCTCCAGTATTCCCTATTCATTTGATGTGTGTACACTAAACACGTCTTTCATAAATTCTCTCACAAATGCTAAGGTTTCTGGTGTCACAAGTGTTAATAATAGTTGCTTCCTTGGTTTCAGTGCAAACGACGTATATACGAACTAAGGAAAAGTTACTCTTACTTAATCTTCAACCTTCGCTTAAAGCCTTTAAGGATCCCAAACAATATTCCCATAAACACAGTAGAAGTACTTTAGATGCAGCTGCAGTCTTGCATCACAATATTTTCTCCAGCATAGACAATGGGGCTAAATTCGCTGCACCCTCCTAGATTACACATCTGCTTTCGACCCCGTACCTAGAGATATTCTGTTAAATAAGCTTGCTGAAACTCAAACTGAGTGTCGTATTGTTAAATGTACTGTAGTGCACTCAAATGAACAGCTCTCTATTAGTAGTCAGAAAATGCTCTTAAACTAAATCCTTCGAAATGTCAGACTGTTATTTCCAGTTTCCGTTGTAAAAGAAAGTTAGGTGAAGGTGTTAATTCCTATAACCGTTGCGAAATTGATAATAGTGATATAGAAATCAAGTCTGACTTTAAGTATCTCCGACTAATTCATCACAGCGTATCAGCCCTAAATGCATGCCACATGCAGGCATAATGTTTAAGAGTTAGGTATGCAAATCAAGGTAAACGCTTGTACGATACATTCATTATTTACAAAACTAACTTGATGTAAGAACTACGGTTTGATCAGTTATACGTTTAATACATTTAGACACAATTAACCTACGATGCTTACTTCTGTGACGCATTGCCTAAAGCTACCTTAATATAGTTTCCGCTGAAGGTAATCTCCTATAGCTACTACCTTAGTGGGCAACTTAACGTTATCTTTGAATAGCGGTAATTCTGAGAACTTTCGTGGTGAAAAGATCGTCTCCTACTCCAAAAAATTAAATATACCCTACTCTCCACAAAAACGTTCAGAGGTATCCACCCTATCACCTCAAACGATTCACTATTTGCGGTCATTTAGAAGGTAAAAATAAATTTACCGATGGCAGCTTGCTTATGATTTCTAGATATCATAATGTACCATGAGGAAAACGTTATATCCGCGCGGTTATAACAGCAAGGTGCGAAAAATTAGTCCGAAACACAACAACTACGATTCTCAGTCACGGAACATCCTACTTTGCTACCTAATCGTATAATCGTATGAATGGATGTTTTGCCAAAGTGAAGAGGACTACTGGTTCAAGGAAAATTTTTTAGAGTTTTTTTAAAAAATCATGGACATCCGTGTTTATAGTCACGGAAAATCACAACTTCGAGGAAACCACCGATCGTAAATTACAACCCGAAACGTTATTCTTCCTAATTAATGTCTTACCTTTAACTGGGATAGTTCGTACACTCACCAAATCATTTTTATCCGCTTTGTAACACATCGAATGGATGTTAACACTGACTCTATTACAGGCAGTCCTAGTTCACGTATTTGGATCTAGTACATTAAGCAATAATAAGCATGAGTAACACTTACCCTTAAGGGTTTATTTTTTCAGTTCCCCAAAATACACACAAGCACAACGGATTCATACGTTTCATGTGGCTCAGCCTCGTTTGACTTAGATTCTCTCACAATATACTTCTTTCTAAATGATAGTAGACACACTGATGGTATATTCACATTCTCAAAAAGCTTCAAAGCTTCTTCAGCTTAAACCCTGGTTCTTAATTCTCCAGGATTATGTTCTTTGAAAACCTTGCTAATATCAATTTTGATCGTGCTCTCCTCATCAGATTTACTGGTAGATCGTTGCATGCTGTAGACATGAACGTGAAAGACATCAGTTTTCCAGATTTCTGCATGTTAAATAACCAAATAAGCCAGCGCCAAAACCTGCAACCAACAAATGGACTGTAGACAACTGCTTCTGCCAGCCAAACATCTTCATGTGCATAATTTCCAAAACTTCTACACAGTACTAATTCGTTAATACCTGAAAAACAACTAAAACACTGAAAGCCGCATGAATGCAAGGTATGAAACAATCACAACGAGATGAATGCACAGACCTGGTAGTGAAAACTTTCGAAACCAAAGAAATAATTCATTTTAACGGCAACGGAAACAAAAAATGAGGTGAAACGCATTATTTGTGAGCAATACGCAACAAGATAAGTCATGACGCGCAGACGAACAGCACCGGAACTGCAATCCAACATGGCCCACTAACATGGACGAAAATGACCTTTGAGCATCTCACTCCACCAATGACCTCGTAAGTTACGGATAATTTCAGTCGTATAAATTCCACAGATGTGCTAAGCATTGAGTCCACTTACAAGAATATTGCTGGGTAACGTAATTAAAATTTCAGATTTATTGGTTGAGAATAGAAGGCATGGAGCCTTTGGTAATCCTTTTCTAGTAAATTTCTGTGGTTCTCCAAACCCTTCTTGAACGAATCAGTTGAGGTTGCAGACACCACTTCTTCTGGGAGTCGGTTCCAAGAGTTTATGAATCTGCATGAGAGCCATTACTCAGCAGCAGTATGACTTCTTCTTGGCTTTTGAACTCTCCTGCTATGTCCTCTAAGGTGTTCCGACCTGGTGGGAAGGAAAAGAGAGAACAGGTCAGGTCCGTAGTCATTATTTAAAAATTTAAACATTGTGATTAAATCTCCTCTGTCTACGGTATGACAGGGAGAAGAGATTTAAACTGTCTAGTCTTTCCTCGTATGATAAGTTAGTCATGCCGTGAACCATATGTGTTGCCTT